TGATTAAAGTAAACGATTAGAATATCTTAAATAAAAGCAAAAATCCAGCCTATTGATATTAATAGTAAACGAAGGAAGCCAAATAGTGTTGGTTCGACCTGGTTTTCGAAACATGGTCGGAGCGTCAAGTAGACCTTGTGAAACGTACTCAGTCCCGTGTTCTCTGCCATAGTATCCGCGATTTCCAGCATTGGAAAATTGGCTAGGTACATTCCCAAACGTTTCACTGGTTTCGCAGTCGGCATCGTTAGTAAGAGGCAACATCGTAAGCACAGAGTTACAACTTATCAAAGTGACACTTTGTCTATTGATGTATTTCCAATGTTCTGCTTAGCCACAACATTCTTATCTTAATAGAAATGGTTTGACCTAGTTATCAAAACTTGGTCGTGTAGTCAGGAAAACCTGGGTGAACGCACCTTGTCCAACGTCTTCTGCCATGGTAGTCATGATGATTTCCAACATTGGAACATGGGCTTTGTACATTACCAGATGTTCTAAAACCTTATTCAGCATCACCTACCAAGTCTACGGTACTAAATTAGAAATTTCCATAGCTACTATGGTAGAGGTCTTCAAACAAGGTGAGTTAATCTAGGTCCCCCAGGAACACGATCGAAAAGGAGGTCAAGCCACTTCTATAAAGCGAAAGGATACCGCGGCCAAAATAGAAGCTATACCATCATGGTTTTCATATCTCCAATTGTTATTTTGATTTATAGATAGCATAGAGAATCGGCAAAAATGTAAGCAAGCGAGAGAAATGCTCGAGGTTGGCTATATCAATTCAAAGTAAACAAAATTAAAAAAGATTTAAGATAAAGACTATTTTTAGAAGAAGACGAATATATATGTGTGCATTCACATGGCCATATACAAAATATGCTGAGCTATAGGAGTGAGATGGTTAAATAATCGATTGAGCTTGGCCAATGTAGCATAATAGTTGTATAAACCTGGTCAAGCTCAAAACAGCTTTTCTGCATCCAAAATTGGATAATAGCAAACCTATACAAAGCATCTATATACTAAAGGCGCATGTCTTAATCATAGACCAAGTTGGTTTTGTCGTGGCCTTGTTCGCAGTCTCATTTAGCTGTATTGAGTTGGTAAGACCTAGTTTCCGCAATTTGGTGGGAGCAACAAGAAAACTTGTTTAATATCTCTAATACTGCGCCATCCCTTGTAGAAGTTACGATAATTTCCAACGGTGGACAGTTGAATTTATACATTCCTAAATTCTTCGCCGGCATCCTCAGCGAGCCTTGTCGCTCTTATCCATAAGTTACAACTCGAATAGCATCGATGCTCATATTCATCTTCATTTTTCGTTATTGGTAATTTGTAATGCGATTTGATAAAAAAATTAACGCACCTCCTTTAAATTAACTGTCATTTATAGACAATTTAAATGCAATAATAAAAATGCATAGCTAATTCTTTTCCAAATTATCATTGAAATCTTGTTTTTCGTATGTCAAACAATTGGCCTGTCAAAGAATCGAAATAACTTTTTGCTCACCGTGACGCCAGATATTTCTGTTCCGATAGTGATGGAGCCCCAGTTCATGCGCACAATTTCAGGGGACTTAGGACAGCCTGGAGTGGAGGTTATTGGGGATTTGATTTCAAACGGGCCCACTGATGCTCCCTCAGGTGAAACTAGATTACTGGACTCTATCATGTCTGAATTAATGAAAAATATAATTATTTCGATAATGATGTTGTAGTCTATTATGCAATTAATATGATTGAGTAATTAATTATATTAATTGTAGATAAAGTTGCGAATTGATGCATTGATCAAACATCGAGAGGCAATTTACCAGCAAAAAAATTTAAAAAATTTGAACACAGTAAATAGCCTACATATCCAGATATTTACAATGCAATAATCTGAAGGCGTACATTCTAGAGTATTTAATACGAATATTTAAAGTAAAAATTTGATTAACTCAACATTCACACTTTATATATAGCGAATTACATAAGTTAAACCCGTTGATAAAAAAGTAGTCTGTGATCGAAAACTAATAATTAGGAAGTCCGTGAAATTTTTTATGAAAAACAAAGTATCTGCGTCCTATGTGCAAAGGAGGAAATGCTTTGTATTGCTTAGATGAGTCGGTTTCCAAAAGTTGGAGGAAAACGCATTTTCCATTTGCCCTCGATAGAGCCAGACAAGATAGTTGATTATATTACAGTTAGTCAATTCCCTCATCCCGAGTTGCAAAGCATTTTGAAGGCTTGAAAATGTATCAAGTCCGCTATGCGGCGCTGTAAATTATCAAGGATACAATCACAGAGGACACTTGGCAATGTGCCTTCATCTAGGCCTTTCTGACAATAAGACTAAGTTGCGAAAACGAAACCACGAGCATAGACAAGGTCATATCATCTTGCCCTTCATACCTGAGACAAACTAGATCATACAACGTCGGTTGACTTCCCTTAGTCCTGTCTGGATCATAAAGTAACGGCAGTTTCGGCCTAGCACCTATTTTACCAGAAACTCCAGCATGAATTGAAGTCAGATAGTGAAAAGAATATTCTCGACAAGTTAACACTACTTCATACAAGGGCCAGTGGGTAACGGGGCAAACATTAACTTAAAAATAAGTCACTACTCTCCAGCATAACAATGCTAGCGCGATGGTCGATAGGACAAGTTTGTATTTCGCCATTGCAATCAATTATGCTACTTATATTCACAAGTAGTAGGTTTCGAGACTATCAGATCATGAATAAGATCCTGTTTCGAAACTTACTAATAATAAATATGTATAGTCGGTTGCAAAAACTAAATATAAGTTTAATCGAAAGTATGAAGACCAAGATGGTGTGGCCTTTTGTGTGGTCGCAGTCTCCTTTTGTTTTATAGAGGTGGCTTGACCTTGTTTTCGCAACTTGGTCATATTGGCAGGAAGACTTAGAGGAACGCACCTAGTCCGGAGTCCCTTGTATGCATGATAATTTCCTAAGTCGGACCGTAGACATTGTACATTAACAGACGTTTCGCCGGCATCACCAGTGAGAAGCGCCATCGTTAACACAAAGTTACAACTTATCAAAGTGAATAGTTAATGCAGTCCCCTTGACTAATTTACCATCCAACCGTTGTGGCATCACTCCTCGCCCCTATTTTTTGTTCCAACTTGTAGTGCCGCATCTCTTTCTCTCAACTTCACTTAATATGGCCCATCCACTTATTCACACAATTATGTGCTCTCGTGTCCTCCAATATCGCCTAAGCGTGTCGCAACAAGTGGGTCTATGGAAGCGTAATAATCTCCACCACCGATACCAGATGCCGCTTGCAGGGCTCTTGACCTACATTATACCTTATACCAGTGGTTCCCAAACTTTTCCTAGTCGCGGCGCCCTTTTTCAATTAAAATTTTACATGGTACCCTACCCTGAGTATGAATATTCGTAATAAAGCGATAAAAATAAATAAAACTCGTGTATCTTCATTATTTTTTTACCTTACTAGCGCTTAATTAATATGATGAATGAGCCTGCAAATCACTGCACATTTTCTCAAATTGAAGCTTTTACAATATTTCGTGGCGCCCCTGTAGAGGCCGCGGCTCCCCGGGGCGCCGCGGCGCACAGTTTGGTAATCACTGCCTTATACATTTGTTCACTAACGGCTTGTCAATTGGCCGCTGCCATACTTCAAAATCACATATATATGCTGAGTTTAGAGATTACCAGTAAACCAGTTATATGAGATGTGTTCACGCTATTTCGTTTAAGGTGGTAAAGGACTGGTAATAGAATTTTTCAACAAATATATAGGCAGAGCTGACGTTTTCATTAAATTTCATATAGCCTTGTTTTCCCAAAAGTTGTCTCAGCCAGGGTGGACTGCAGTTTAGACCTCCTAGCCAGTCAAACCATGACAGTGCAGCATGTTAGCTTGACACGTTAACCATTCAGCCACATTAACACGACCACTCTTGGGTCACCGGGCCGAGTAGAATTTTCAAGGAAGATTTAATTATTACTGAGAAAATTCTACTACCAGTTCTTCATCACCTTAAACGAAATAGGGTGAATACATTTCCTATTACTGATTTACTTAGTCTCAAAACTCTGCTTATATACGAAAAATAAGTAACTTAGTCGATTGTTATAGGAAAAATACGTTTGCTTTATCGACAATCTCACCAAATAATGTGATATGGGAAAAGGACTAGCCTTCTTTGGAAATTCACATTTGCCCTGTGAGCAAAGGGCACTCGTGGCAATGTGGCCGAGTGGTTAACGTGTCAAGCTCACATTTTGCATTGTCACGGTTCGAATCTGCAGTCCACTCTGGATGAGAACAACTATTGGGAAATCAAGACTATGAGAAATTGTATGTAAACGTCAGCTCTACTTAAATCGTTGTGGGAAAATTCTACTACCAGTTCTTCGTCACCTAAAACGAAACAGTGAATATATCTCATAAAAGAAAATCACTGATTGTTTGTTTGGAACCTAGCTGCCCAAGAGCCTTCAATTCCCGTCCTCGATTACGCCATATTCGATATTTTAAATTAAAAGATGCCTGGGAATTTTCCTCTCATTATGCATGAATTTCATGATTCGGTTACCCTCTTTCTCATTCTCACCCACATTGTGTCAGTCTTTAAGTTCCTGAGTTCGGCTTAACTCATAACTGCTGATATAAAAATTCAACGCTTCCCTTTTTTCCCTTGAATCCGAACAAGCACTCCTCTTGTCCTTCAAGTTGACACACTTGCCTAAGCCTAAGATGTTCATGTGTTTTTGGTACCGGTGGTGGAGATGATTATACTTCACTAAACCCATTTGCAGCAACACACTCTTAAACGAAATTGGAGGAAACGAGGATACAGGATTGTGTGAATAGGTGGATGTGTCATATGAAGAGAGGGACGCAGTACTAGAAGGTAGAACCAAAAATAGGGGCGAGGAGTGATGCCACAACGGTTGGAAGAAAAATTAGTTAAGGGGACTGCATTAACTAGTCACTTTGATAAGTTGTAACTTTGTGCTAACGATGGCACTCCTCACTGACGATGCCGGCGAAATGTTTGGGAATGTACCCAGCCGATGGTCCAATGCTGGAAATCACAAATCCTAAGTCAGAGGACGCGGGTCTAACTAGGCTCCACAAGGACTTCCTGACGCTCTGACCAAATTGCGAAAACGGGGTCGAATCAACAGTATAAAGTCAAGGGAGACTGCAACCAAACATAAGGCCACGTCATCTTGGTCTTCGTGTTTACGATCTTAGTGTGCCTTATTGACAATCGGAAGAGGAGATCTGGCTTGCCTGGAAGATCACAGCTGCGGCACTGTGGCGTGGAGATGCCGGAAATAACCAAGCAAGGTAAAAACTATAACTAACTCTGGACTAAAATATCTATTGGAGGCAAGGCTAAATAAGATTCAACGGCGTCGTGGAATCCACTAGTAAGAAGAAGCGGAAAATTCGATTTTCAACGCTTCACAACTTTACATGGCATACTGATGGTCTAAAAACCTACAAATAACGAAAAGAAAAAATATCTGCCGCACTCAGAATACGTTCGCTGAGGCATCTCTAAAAGAAATAAATACAAAAAAATAGAAAGCCCTTAAGTATGATCAAGATTGTTATTTTTAGGAGATACTTTCCTAGTCTATTAAAAACCATTCGATTTTAGTTGCAGTATATTAATTAATACCAAGAATACAAGTTCTTAAT